TTCATATTGGTATATTATACAAATTATTACAACATACAAATAATGGTATTTTTTATAACATATTGAAATCTATGTATAGTAATGACAAAGTGTGTGTCAAAGTAGAAGACAAAATAACTGATTTTTTTTTTATATAATGTTGGTGTACGACAAGGTGACGTCTTGAGTCCCACATTGTTTAAACCATTTATTAATGATTTGCCAGATATATTGTCAAACAATTATGATAATGTCAATTTAGATAATGAAAAGATACCATGTCTACTATACGCTGATGATCTTGTATTAATATCTGACTCAAAAGAAGGGCTTCAGAAGAGACTTGATACTTTGTGCACATTTTGCAAAGATTGGTGTATGGAAATAAATGTGAAGAAAACAAAGATTATTATATTCAATAGGAGTGGTAGACTCCTTAATGAAGATTTCACGATAGGAAATAATTCTATCGAATGTGTTGAACAATACAAATATCTTGGCATAGTCATCCAAAATACTGGAAACTTTAATGAAGCCAGGAAACAATTATTCCAAAAAAGTCAAAAGGCCAGTTTTAAACTGTATAAAGATTTGAAATCATCAAATCCTCCTATTAAAACTCTTTTGCATTTATTTGATCATTGTATACAGCCAATTGTAACATATGGTTGTGAAAATTGGGGTGTTATTAACATTACTCCTAAAAGGAAAAAATTATCCCTTTATGACATATTTAAAGATTGGGAGTTTGAGAAGCTAAATTTAAAATTTTTCAAGTATATTATTGGTGTTACAAAGATGTGCACAAACGTAGCAGTCCTGTCTGAACTGGGTAGATATCCTCTTTATATTTTGCTAACACATATGTTTATGTATTGGCATGGACTAGAGAATTCCCCATCTGATTTATTGAAAAGTGCTTATGCTGAGTTAAAAATGATTGAGGGTAAAGCTCAAACTATCTCCAATAATTCATGGCTCTCTAATATCATTTTCTACAGCGAAAAATTGGGTATTGACCTAAATATATGTAAAAATTTAGGCAAAAATAAATTTAAAAATTTACTGAAAAAAACAGCTCAAATTAAATTTTCAAAATGATTGGGAGAAAATGCGAGATTTTTATTTACAGAATCAAGGCAAATTGGACACGTATTTTTCGTTCAAGAGGTCATTTGACTATGAAAATTATTTAGATTTAAAGCACCCCCAAAAACATTTGTTAACAAAATACAGACTCAGCAATCATGGTTTAAGAATAGAAACTGGCAGACATGAACGTTTTATCAATGTATGTGGTAAGTATGAAATATTACCTCGACATGAGAGGATATGTTTATATTGTAATTCAAATTCTATTGAAAATGAAATGCACTTTCTTCTGGAATGCCCTCTTTACAATAACCTCAGAAGAGATATGACTGATCAAATCAAAAAATACCCAAGTTTAGTTAATTTAAACAGAAATGATCTTTTTACATGGATCATGAGTAATGAAGATAGCAGTTTTTTTATCTATTTTATGTGCATACCTTGATAAAGGCCTGCAACTTAGAAAATCAGAAAATTACATAAATACTCTAATAGATAGCAAAATTATCTCCCCTTGACCACTGACCCTTTCCTCGTGCATTTGAACTATTATTTTATGTTTCTTTAATCACTCTGTAATGTTTATGTCATGTTGTTATTAATGTTATGCTCTTAATGGGCCCTTTAATTTGGAAAATAAAAAATATTGTATTGTACAAATACTGTGTTGTCATTTACATGTTTATACATCGTGCATTTTAGTGCAATCGGTTGAAGACGGGTGATAATTTATGCACGTAATGATTATCATTGCTCCATACCTAAACTACTTGTTGTTATTATATGCTAGGTGTGCGGATATATACATTAGCTTTATAGCAGTCTATAGGTTACATTTAGGTATATAGGTTAAAAATGTCAGAGACAAGTGCATGTGCTGTAGAGAGTAAGAAAGACTGACTTTAAACTGACAATCTGATGGTTCAAATGTTACAGCTGAGACTACTATAACATATTTTAAATCATTCCTATGTATATAAAAATAAGGAGATGTGGTATGATTGCCAATGAGACAACTATCCACCAAAGTTCAAATGAACGGTGGATGTAAGAAATTATATGCAACCGTACGGCCTTCAGCAATGAGAAAAACCCATACCGTATGGTCGGCTATATAAGTATGTCGGTTTAAAGCTCTACAGAGCTTCTGTTGTATTGTTATATGTATACCCGACTCTAAGGATGTTCGCAATTTAGTTTTTCACTTTTTGTCAGATATTCGGAATCCTCTAGTTTTATCCATGTAGTGCCAATACAAATTTTGCCCGCCAACCCTAACCCGAATAATTCAGTCCCTCCCCGTAATAGATCTCTCCTACTTGCGAGTTAATGAAGTAATCGTAGATCAGCGGAATATAACGATTGAATTATTCGGGTTACGCCAACCCATACTTTTTTTTATTACATATAGTTAAAAAACAATTTTTTGATGAAAATCTTATAAAATCCTTGTTATTTTTTCTTAATTTTTGAAAGAAAAAAGGTGCCAATGTTAAATGTATGAAAAGTCTTGAGAGAATTTTTTCCCCGCCAAATTTTTAATTGATCATATAATTGTGTTCACTTTACTGCATCTGGAAATTTTCATTTAGCTAAAACTGAACTATATAATAAGGCTCTTAAGGCCTTTTATAAACTAAGAAAGTATTTCATAAATTTGTCTCCGGGAATAAAATCCTGTGTTCATATTTTTGATCATACCCTTAAACCCATTCTGTCATATAATTCAGAGGTATGGGGAGGTTATTATGTTTCTTGTAATAAATTACAATCCTCCTTATTTAATCTTGAAAATATTTATAAAAATCTTCAGTGTGAGAAACTTCATCTCAAGTTCTCAAAATTTATACTTGGTGTACACAAAAGAATTGTAAATTTTGCTGTATTATCACTTGAGAACGGGCATTTTCCCCTACATTATGATATTGTAAAGTCAACTGTTAAATACTGGTATAGATTTGAAAATCTTCAGAATGAATTCAGTCTGTTGAAAGACGCTTATAAATGCAGCCAAGAGCTTCACAAACTCTAACATGACTTCTCAATTGGTTCTCATTTTTCAGTAAGAAATTATTAGAAGTTTTTGAAATTAAACAAGAAGTAAAACATTTTGGACAATATAAATTTTGAATATATCTAACAAATTAATTCACACTAAATAGGTAAACAATTGGTATGTTAGCCAAAAAAATGCTTCTGATTGAAAATTGTTCAATTATTTGAAATTTAAACAAAATTTTGGCTATGAAAATTATCTCTCTTTGGTTAAGAACTTTGATTTTAGAAGAGCTATTTGTAAATTACGTATATCTGCTCATAAGCTTCAAATAGAATTTGGCCGTTTTTCAACTATTCCACGAAATGAAAGAATTTGCAAAAATGCTCCTCTGGCTGTATTGAAGATGCGATCCATTTTTTAACTTCATGTGAAAAATTTAACTCTGATAGAGATGCTCTCTTTGACTTTGTTAGCCATAAAATGCCAAACTTTACTTTACTGGACAATCAGCAAAAATTCATATATTTATTGAGCTGTGAAGACAATCAGGTAATTATAATTAATGCTGTTGGAAAATTTATTCAAGATAATATGAGTTAGATGTATTTATTTCTCATATAAATATATTATATACTTTAAACCAAGTTTTTTTTTACAGTCTAATTGTATTGTAATTGTGTATTTAAATTCTATGTATCTATGCTAATCGATGTTCTTTTTCCTTATACATGCCGTATTTTCTATACGCCCCTTGTGGGCCCTTATTAATTGGTAATAAAACATATCCAGAAATCAACACCACTTTGCTTATATTATATCTATGATTATACTAAAAAAATCGGATACGGGTCACGGAAATTATATTGAAATGATAGGGAATTTTTAAAAAATGTCTGTTTTAACTTTGATTTAAGTGATAGACAGGTTGCCGGGGCAGAAAATAAATATACTCAACAATATACACCATTTAAACGAAATATAATGACTGTCGTTTCAAAAATCAAGGTTCCTGAGCTATTTTAAAAATCGAAGCGAGAGGCTTTTAACATTGCAGTATAAAATACAGGCTAAAATGGCTTAAACGTCAAATTTGGAAACTTCGTGTTGAAAATTGGCTAACAAGGTCATTAGAAATACAGGTTGCCGGGGTGAAACTTGAAACTTGAATGTCCAAAGAATAAGCAAGTCCAAACCTTGTATGTGTAGTCGTTGAACTCTAGGTTCCCACGTAAAGTTAAAATGCCTCTATTTCAAGAAGAATAAACTCACGAAAACACGAAAAATTCACTAAATTCGCGTTCATTGTTTTGATTTTGACCGCCTGACAACTTTACGGAAATATCAGAGTGATTATAAACAAGGACTCTGTGACGGGCAACTTATAATATCCGTGTTTTAAAGCTTTTAATGATATCAAGCCAGTCCAGTTCAAACTATTATCACGTGGTACAATTCTCATTTACATATTATGAATATTAATTAGCAAAAGTACTACTAATTTCTGGCTATGATATCTATCTTATCTTATTCAAAACCAAGGACACGGACCTGTCATTTTTCCCTTCTTTTTAAGTTCCTTTGTTTATAATAGCCTTTTAAAAAGCTTGTTATTTAAAAACAGAGGAGCGAACATACTTAAATAAAAATATTTATCTTTATGCTTTTATGCCAACAGAATATTTGATTGGCCATAACGTGAAGTTGCCAATCTCTGTGTTATACAATACTGAGACTACTATGTGTTATAGTAGTCTCAGTACAATAGTAGATAGTTAAATTGTATAAGATCAGTTAAGGATATTTGGGATGAAGTTGTATAAGCATTGGCACATCTCATTTCCGTGGAGATTAGTTGACACTGCCTACTCAGTCATGGTCTAAAAATTTTGAAATGATCGGCATTCCATCAGGATTGCATATTGTATTTTACAATTTAGTCATACCGGAAGCTTACATGTACACGTCAACCGATAAGTAATAATAAAAACAAAACGAAGCTCAGGTGATTAGAGAATACAGATTTTTTTCGACCAACAACACGTTGTTTAGAAAGTGTCATTGACAACTACTGTTCAGGAAAGTATGTTTTGTATTTGCATGAACATGCTCTGCATACATAATTCAGTAAAATGTATGCAAGGACACTAAATAATAAATTGACAAGCTAATATTTTGAGGGTTTCTGTATATATTATATATATCATAACTCAATATTTGGTAGTCTTATTTTTTCATATGAAATTCACTGTCACCTCCATATAATTATACAATAAATTAAAGATAAGTTAAATTAGATCAGATTAGACTTAAACAACATACCACTTTTTTCTTATTTTATAATTTTTAAATTGATAAGACTTAAAAAATTCTGTTTTATATTTGGATTACATATAATGGGTGATCCTCTTTTTACTTGTAATGTGTACTGATTCTCCAGATCGTTTTTAACCAAGGTGAAACGTCTTTAGGTCCAAATGAGAATGGGGAGGAACTAGCTGCTGTACATGTACCGTAGCTCACAGGTCCTTATGATATTTTTTGACAATTTGCGGACCATAGAGCTACGGATTTTGGTCCGCAAATTGTCAAAAAATATCATAAGGACCTATGAGCTACGGTTCCTCAACCTGGGAGGAACAAGATAACCTGACAACTCTTTTTTTTCGAGAAAATATTTTGAAGTTGTTTTTGGCTGAGAAGAGAATAACTAATATGTTTTTAATATGTCCTAGTTTGTGGTTTAAATTTTACAGGCCATGTGTTGAAAAATGAAGAACAATTTAATTTTTTATTTGTTAATAATTTTAACTCCAGTTTTTTTGTTTTCTGCTAGATTAAGCACACACAGTTTAAGTTTAAGTACATTTTCTACAGTATTTAGACTATTGAAAATGGAAATATATCTTTTTATACCCTGCCTCAAAGAAGGTAAGATGGGATTTAACCCAGAGTTATGTCTCCTGTTAAACATGGTCAGTATATGTCCATCAGGCATCTGTCTGTCAAAAATTTGGTTTCATGTACATAATGACCAAATCTCTGAAATTTGAACACATTTCATTGACCATGAAATACAGGAATCTGATTTTATTATTTATTGTTTGAGTAACCATACAGATCTGGATTTTTATTCAATTAAAACTTGATAATGTTTATTCAGGTACAATGTATAGGCAATACAAACATTTATATACAAATACATAATAAGATTTTGAATCTTAGCTAAATACAACCTTAAAATATAGTAATGGTTGTCACTTTAGGTACATCTAATGCCTTTTACATTTGGAACATAAAAACTGTAAGCAGTTGTTCCTATTCGTGGAAGTTTTTGAAAAACCATTTTTTAAGTATTCTGGACATTTGTCGTGAAATGCATTAAATGCATGATTCAGACGAAGTTGTTTAACTCTGATTTTCACATTATTATGTTGCTTAAACACACACAGTGACTTCTTTGTTTTCTTGTGCAATAGGTTAAAAATGATCACTAATACCAGTACTGATAACACCTGACTGCCCGATCTTTTCACTTGAATTACAAAGAATATGGTCAAGCAATAATTTAGTCTTGTTGGTAACCTTTGTCGCTTCTGTAATAATCTGCTATAAACCAAACAAATTGATAACTTTGCTGTATGCTTGGTCATGTTGGTACAGACAATTATTTGTGACCATTGAGCAGATGTTAAAATCTCTCATTATGATTATCTAACTTGATACAATCTTTTTAGGTTTTAACACATGCTATGAATGATGAACCATAAAAGTTGGTAAAAATACAGCTTTGACATTTTATTTTTCAAGAGTTATGCCCCTTAATTATCTTAAAAATTGGGACTTTTTGGGTTGTTTCTGGAGAATAATATAAATATCACTTGACAAAATTATTTTAAATTTAAACAATATGTCATGTACTATTGACTTCAGGTCAATAACTAAGGTTTGAATAGTTTTGGCATTAACTGTTTTTTCCCTAAATTATCTAAAAAATATATATAGTTTTTTGTTTGGTTTCCTAATTACACACTAAAATACCACTTTCCAGAATCTTTTTGAATTTTAACTAACACAATTGCTTGGACCATAATGTACAGGTTACAATGTAAGTTTGATTTTGATAGTTGACATTTACCTTTTAAGAGATGTTCTATGGGTGGGTAAATGTCCCTTATCACTAGATCACTTAAATCTAGTGAAGTTTTTCTTTAAAATTTTGAATTTATGTAAGGTCTTTGAGGAAAAAGTGAAAAATAAAAATATAATAGAAAAACAAAGGATTTGAGGTATCCATCCACGACACAAAATCAGTACATGCACAGCAAAAAGCAAAGAAACAGCGCTTTTATTGCTGTTCTTCATCATAAAGTCACTGCTAGGTTATTTTTTTAGACAATAGCAGTGGTAGCATACCACCTACATGTAACAATGGTAAATATTTTGTTAACATACACATGTACATGAAGTGCAATAAATTTTGTCTGAAGATCATTCATTTTAAACTTTTATGTCTGTTTTAATTTCAGAAATGAAGATTGTTTTGTTGTATGGATTGATTTTTTTACTGTCCTCATCAACAGTTTTTGGTAAGACTTTCTATTTAAATGAAGTTTACTCTTTTTAAGATTAGAGGTGCATGTAAGCACGATTGTTTTTGGTGCATCAATTTCACAATACGGTTAAACTTTCTAAAGTAAACGAAACTCGTTACCAGAAACCCTTCTAAATTGAACTGTTGAATCAAAATCTACAACAGATTTTCTTTAACATGCTTACAGTAGTAAAGTGAAGGTACAATTCTGGGACAACTAAATTCAAATGTATTTCAGCATAACTAAATTTTATGGAAAATGATGAATATTCATTGGAAATGAGTTGTAAGTTTTTTAAAATTGCAGTATTGAACTAAAACTGAGACTTATCCATACTTAATACATGTTAGATACAACACATTGCACATAGTCCTTAAGAATTTTGTACAACAAAGGTATACCTATAAATTATTTGTGTAGTTTCATTTTTCATGAATACTATGTGTTTGGACAAGATGTTATTAAGTTGTAATACATGTGTCTGATCCATTTGTCATTTTGAACAATAAAATATGTTAAAACTACATGTACAACCAAGGATTGACATTAAATTCAGTAAAATGAGTACTTAAACAAGTGACAATGCTTTGAGGTAGTCTGACCTTGCTGTTGACTTCATCTTAAGATTTTGATTGGTTAGTTTATGAAGTGGTCAGGACACACATAGTAAGACCTTTATTACCCAGTATAGTATTTCCAGTTATGATAAATTAAGCAGACAAGTATTTTTAGGCTGTGCACTCTCATTTTCAAATAAATATATAAATGCACAACCCATTCACTGTTTCAAAATGAAAGTAGAAATGTCTGCTGTGTAAACAATACTATTTCATATATGTTTCATATATTTATTTGCTGAATACAAATTTTCAGTTGTGTTACCAAGAGAAAATTTTACAATTACAAAATTCTGCAATCAGCTTTTTTTCTTTTAATATCATTACTGAGACCCATACCAATGAAAGTTATCCAAAGTAGGAAAATATGTTCTTTAATCAAACACTTTTACATTTTAGGAGCTTTTGGAGGACATGACAAATACAATGATAGAATGCTACTATCTGAAGTCTCAGCATTAACACTTTATCATGGTAGAATGACAAATGCTAGAAGGTCATCCCCTGTTCCTCAGGTAAATTAAACTACATGTACTTTAGTTTTCTAGGTAGGACTTAAAGGCAAAGGGCCACAGTTTTATGAAAAAGGCCACATTAGCAGAGTTTCTGATCTGAAAAGGGTCAGCTTGGTCATGTTTATAAATTAAAAATTGACATCACTGAATAGTTTAATGGATTTTTACTGGATTTTCATTATTCATGGGATGTAAAAATTTGTTTCCTCTAGTTGTAATGGTTATGTTTTGCATTGAACAGTATTTATTTTCCTTCAGAAAGCACAAAAGTCATACTGCAGGACAATAAGGGCAGAGGGGCACACAAAATGGGCAGAGGGGAGCGCAGAAAGAACTGAGGGGAACTGCATCCTTCTATTTTGGGCTAGCTAAGACACTGTAACATATATACATGAAACATTCATTTGTCAGTATACATTACAGTTTTTGGAAAGATTGGAACTATTGCTATCAAACGATAAACATGTAGCCACTAGAGACAGTGTTTGATTCTGATGGCCAAATAAAACAAAACTTCTCTAAATGTTTTGAAACTTTATGGGGTTGATTATTTGCAGACCTACAAATGATTAAAATAAAATGTTGATCGGGTGGATAACTTGGCAACATGATTGGCACAAAGTTCCCTTAAAACCTTATAGAAAATAAATTTTCATCAATTACCCTGATTCGGAACTATGCACGGAAGGACTTCTACACACTGTCCTTACTTGGTTCCAATAGGAGGAGAAACATAGTTGACATAGGAAAGTTTTAATTGTTTGAATTTTCGAAAGTTTTCTCTTCTGAAACTACCAAGCAAACTGGATTGAAATATTTGAGGTTTGATGAAAACAAAACTAACTACATTTTCTGTAAATAAATTTCATTTTTTTTGTGAAAAATTATCTTCCCTCAAGCATTTAGAGGCAATATCCCAGATAGCTGGAGCCTCTAGTTAGTGTAGTGGTTTATAAATACTAGTAACAAATTTGAAATAATGAATATTTGAATTTTAGTTAAAATGTGTTGGAGGTACTGCTGGTTGTCAAGCATTTGTTCCACAAGTGGTACAGTGTTATAATAGAGGAGGTGATGGCTATGATGTACAGGTAAATTATAGTGAAATGTAGTTACTAGTCACACAGTGTTATCAGAGAGGAGGTGATGGCTATGATGTACAGGTAAATTATAGTGAAATGTAGTTACTTGTCACACAGTGTTATAATAGAGGAGGTGATGGCTATGATATGCAGGTAAGTTATAGTGAAATGTAGTGACTAGTCACACTGTGTTATAATAGAGGAGGTGATGGCTATGATATGCAGGTAAGTTATAGTGAAATGTAGTTACTAGTCACACCGGGTTATAATAGAGGAGGTGATGGCTATGATATGCAGGTAAATTATAGTGAAATGTAGTTACTTGTTATACTGTTCAATACATATACATTTAAAAATTTACAAAATATACAAAAAAGAATACAATAGTGGTTTTAATAAATAGTAGGGTATGATTAGGGTTATTAATGAATATTTGTAGGATTGCATTCCATTAATTTTCATGAAATGACCATTTTATTGAATGGTAAATGTTGTGGTAGCCAGTACACCATAATAAATTGCTGTTTGATTTTGCAATATAAGGAATGTTGAAATACAACAAAATACCACATTGGTTTAGAATATCTCAAACGACATGTCACATGGCCATTGACAAATAATTTTTTAAATACTGCAAGGTGCCTATTACTGCAACACTATTAGAAACTGGTACAATGTATAAATATTTCTTTTGTAGTGGGAATGTAAGACAGATATGGATAATGCCTACAGATTTGGGAAGGTTGAGGTTGTATGTGAAGGCTTTGATCATCCAGATGACCCATACATACTCAGAGGCTCATGTGGGGTAAGTTTTTTTTAGAATGACATAGTGTACAGAGGTTTTGATCAAAGACTCTTGTTTGGGTATGTATCACAAAGGTTTTAGAAAGTATGAATTCTTTCATCATCTGAACATCTGATTCACTCTCAAATGATCTTGAGGGCTAAGTTTTCTTGAGGCTTTGGAAGGTTATGGAGGTATGTGATAGCTTGATCTTCCAGATGACAAATACAATTACAGAGACTCTTATGGGAGAAATATCTCGGAGGCTTGGGGCAGTTGATGTTCATATAGTTATTGCAGGCTTTGATCATCTAGACTCAGATTTGGAAGGTTAAGGTGATATGTGAAGGACTGGTTTTTTTCAGGTGACCCATGTATTTCATAGGTTCATGTAGAGTAACTACCCCTGAAACTTTGGATGGTTAAGGTGATATGTGAAGGACTGGTTTTAAGGTGATCCAGTTGGATATTTTTTATTTACCACCAAATTAACAAAAATATGGGACAGAAATTAAATATGTTATGAATTTACTTTTTATTTTAGTTTTATTACTCATAATAACAGGTTAGAATCTATTTACATTCATTTAAATTGGTGTAAGAAAAATATTAAATAATGCTTAATGAAAACACAAGCTGAACACATTATTTCCTTTTTAATTGATAACTTCTTCTCTCAATAGTTGGAATACACATTAGATTTGACAATGGAAGGACACATGCATAAAAAACAGAAAAACCATGACTATTATGGTTCTCAGCACAGTAGTCATCATGATAATTACCACCAAAGACATCAACAAGGGTAAGTTAATAACTTTTTTCTTACTATGGCTACCAAGTATTTTATTATTACTTTTTGTAGGAATTTACTTCACCAAAGAATTTACTTGAATTTGTTGTGTCTCATTATTTGTTTATTACCTGTCTTGTTTCGTGCTGTAACCAATAAGCGTTTGTTGATTGTTTGTTCATCTCTATGATGTGACAATTTTGAGTTGTCTATGTATTAAATTGTAAACTGGATTTCTGTTTTTTTTCCATGCCATTTGCTAGGGAAAACAGCTTCTTGTGTCTATAGTTATTATAAAAAATTTGTACCATAGGGTTGACTTAGAAGTGGGACATGAATGATGTTTCGCAAAATATTTGTAATCACTTGATAAACATTTTATTAAAAGCCAATTTCATTCAAGTTATACTGTCTAATTATGTTATCTATATTGTTAGTTACAACCAACATAATCCTGGCCATTATTACAGCCAACACAATCAAGGTCATTATTACAGCCGCCATAATCCTAGACATTATTACAATGGACATTATCATGACCACAGTTACCATGGCCATGGTTACCATGACAATGACCACAGTTACCATGGTCAACATTACCACGGCCATGGTTACGACCACAATGACCATTATTATCACAGAAGGGGACACAATCCTGATTGGTCAGTTTAATTGTCAAATGATAGTGTGATTCTATTTTCTTTCTTTTTTTCCACAACTTAAGATCAACAGTGAAAAAAAACCAGTCATCTTTAGTGAAAGCCTTATGTTTTATGGAGATTAAGAGGATAGGTTTAGTAGAAAAAAATAGAGATGTTTATTTACGTACAAGTTTCATTATGTTTCAATAATTTGTAATTCAAACTAATGTAGTTTTACATGCATTATATGGAACTTTTGAGGAGATTAGATTAGGTCATGCAAAGAATGGAAACTGCTGACTGTGGTTTTTAAAATCACAGTTTATATATATATCTTCACTACAAAATATACAGACTTTTAAACAGCAAAATATTCTAATAAAAAGAAAGTAAATCCAATTATAATAAAAGAAATAAGTTGTTATCCTTAAAAATCTTTTCCCTATTTATGCATAGTACTATTTTTGAAGAAGTCCTTCTTACAGACAATATCACTTTACAGGTACTATGAAGAATTTGAAGAAGACTAAAAAATCAACAAAACAGTAAAAAAACGTATTTCAGTTGAACTTGGATATAAACATAACTCTGATAATACTGTCAGTAATATTCCTGTCCATGATTAATTATTAAAAGATCATGGATTGATTCATTCAGATATCAGATATACTGTCATGACTGTTTTATTTTCTGAATTTATTTTACTTGATGGATTACCAAGACCTCAAGAAAAACAGTTGTCTTGTGCCACACAGTGGGTGATAACTAGAGTCATCTCTCATACATGTAGATGTTTTGTTTTTATAGCTGTTGATTTTTTTCCTATCTATACAGAAATATGTTAAAAAGTTATTGGATCGAAATTATTTAAATTTTATGTAACACTGTAAATTTAAATCTAATGTGTTCATTTATTATTGTTAAATGAACAATGATAGGAAAAAAATAGTGTGACTCATGAACATGTTGGATAGTCAAATATTATGGAATAATTGCAGTGGTTATTTTTGCACCAGTAAAAAAACATCACTTTAGTTTCTGAATTTTCAGCACTGAGCATATGTTTTGAATTTTAGTACATGTCGAATATTATATAAATATGATGTAAATACTTTTGTTAAAACTAACAGTAAATATCTTGTTAGCCATTCTAATTTTAGAATTGTAAACATATTGATGGGTACATACCTTTATTGTTTGTTTTGCTTGTGGCCAAAGACAGGGAGGAAGATAGATCTTACATATTCGTTTTTGAATACAGCATGGACAAATACATTTATATCTTATTTCCACTTTTGCATTTGTTAGTCCCCTACCGACGAAGTCGAAGGGGACTTTAGGTTTGCACTCCGTCCGTCTGTCCGTCTGTCCGTCTGTCCGTCCGGCAAATCAGCTTTCCACACTTTTTTTCTTCGTTCTTGAAGATATTGATTTGATATTTTGTATATAGTTTTATCATGACAAGTTATAGATCAAGTTCGAATTTTGTTCCGGTCTGATGATTTAGTCCAGAGTTATGGACCATAACTCTGGATCATATCTAATGTTAGAGTACTATGTTAAACCATATTTCTGTACAAAGGGAGATTACTCATTTTTTAAAAGACATTCTTTGTTAATTTATTTAAAGAATTTTTTCACAGGTTTGTTTGTTATTTAGTATAAACTAATTTTCTGAATGCTATATATATCAAAAAAAATTATGAAGAGAAATCCTTTAATTAGATAATAATCTATTTTTATTAATGTATATATTTCAATACATTACATTGTGTAGATAAAAGTTGTTGACATTTTATAGATAAGTTACAAATCTATATTAGTTTGTGACAAATGAAAGAAAAAAATATTTGGAACTATTAATTATATCTGATTATAATTTGAAAATAGATATACACTGTATTACATCATATCTAATTCTAGAGAACTATTAATCATATCTAATGTTTTTTTCATCATGCTTATAAGATATTGATTGATAATTGGTATATAGTTTTATCATGACAAGTTAAAGATAAAGTTCAAATTTTTGTTTCGGTCTAATAATTTTGTGCAGAGTTATGGTCCTTGGACTTGAAAAATTCACTCATATAATAATTTTCAACACTGTTTTTAGTCATGCTTGAAGATATTGACATGATATTTACTTTTTGTTTACACCATGACAAGTTGTAGAACAAGTTAGCATTTTGTTCCAGTATAATGAATTTTTACCCGGTAGGGGACTATGTATTGCCATGCAATACCCTCAGAATGCTTGTTAATCTTAATTTGTGATTGTAAGTGTGTTAATGATAACCGCTGCACTTTTTAGATTGAATTTTAGGATAATGCCTAGTTTGTTATTACTATAACAGATAAACAATACTTGGTATGATTATTGATAATGAGGAATATCTTTTATGTGCCATATGGCCTTGAACACATTTAAATGCTAATTACAGTTTCAGTGGTAAGGTGAATTCTGCAGAATAGGAACTGTTCCTCAGTAACTACCGTATTCCAAATAGGTCACTTATATTTTGGTATTTGGATTGAAAGTCAAATGAATGACACCAATGCAACAATAGAAAAGTTTATATTGGTGTGATATATGAACTTTTGCCTTTCCCACATATTTAACTCTTCAGTTGTCAGGCTCAATTTTTCCTAATGAAATCAGCTTTTCTTCCAAAAGGGTTCCCGACCTATGCTGAAATTGAAAAAAAAAAAAAAATGGAATATAAAATCAATTGTTCCAGGCCTTAAAAATTGAAAATATTTTATGCTGGAAAAAATTTTCATGAATGATTGATTGCTGTTGTTTAATGCCACATTCAGCACTATTGGCTATATCATGGTGTCCAGGTTTTACTGTTTGAGGAAGCTACAGTGCTCTGAGAGAACCACTGACCTACTGCAGGAAAACTGGCTATCCTAGTCAACTGAGATTAGGGTTGAACAATTCCTAGTCCAAATCAGAATTAGTTGAGTAGTCTTTGAAACATAATTAAGAGGAGCTTTCATGCTTATGATTAAAACAATAAGTTAATTATAAGTCTTAGGAGTGATTTTAAGAAAGCAATTTTAGTTAACTGTTTTCAACTTTAATAAATGTCTTACAGTCAACAGTAACTTATGACTTCTTCATATATGTCTTCTAATACCATGATATACATGACTTCACAAAAGATGGAAACTGATAGACAGTACTATGTCCTTCTTACAAGTCATTGTACTTTGGTAAATATACAAGACTTCACAAAAGATGGCAACAACAACAGGATCCTTATGGTAATTGTTTATGACTTCATCTGTCTATGTGATTTTATTTCTTGTTTCAGAACTTTTGGAAAGCAATTCTCCTCCATATGTAGTGATATTATAATTCTGTGCATTGTTGGAATCATAATCTATGCCATATACAGGACTTGTATAGCTGATAGATCACATGGCCAGTCAGGTGACCCATCATTCAGATCACATGACAGAGGATCCAGACCTCCACCTCCAGGTTTTAGACAAGACTACATGCCAAACAATGGGGGTAAGTATTGAAGGATATAATGGGTTTCTGGAGCCTTCATATTGAAAGAATTTAATTTGTATTTTTTTATACTCGAAGCCACAAGGTTTTGTAGGGTATTATATCATCAGTCTGTCCATTTTGGCGAATCACTTTTTTGTTGTCCGGATAAGATCTTTTTTGTTGAATCCTATTCAAATTAAGATGAAGTAATCCACTCATCAAAACTGTGCATGAGTTTGATAGAAAAAAAATCTGAAAATGGACCCATTTATTTCGGGATGTCTTAAATTAAGTCTTGTCTCCAAGATAGCACCTCTATTGTTGATAAGATTGCCTTCAAATTTGTTGAAAGGTTTCCAATCATCAAAATTGCAGATGAGTTCAATAATCAGACAATTCTCTTTGGGGGAAGGGGACTTGTAAAAATATCCCATTATATTTAATATATGCGGGCAAAGGATATGGGAGCTTGCTCACGAAGGTTCTTTCATTCTTACAATTTATCTCTATGTATATTTTACATTTGTAAAGAAATAAACAAGTAGTTCATTTTTCATGAAGTCAGGGTATGAAAGATTAGGCAGAAACCTTGTGGTAGGACTTTTAGAAGAATGGGAACAGACAGTTAGGGAAAATAGAGAGGGTAGTGAAGGGGACGGAAGTGAGAGCAATTTTAATGGACAGGAAATATCAGTTGGTTAAGGAATAACTGACTCTTTGTTAACCTCCTGTGAACACTTCTTATCGCAACCATTGAAGTTAATAATTACAGGTGCATGTTAATAGAAAATACAATGACACAGGTTAGCAGTTTAAACTGATAAAAAGCTTTTAGGATGTAAATATCTTTTAAATTTAAATATCATCTGTAATAATCAGAATGTTCAGACATTTTGATGTCCTTATAAATGAAGGAAACTTGATAAGCAGTTTAATTATTTATTTCTGTTACTTTCAGTAGATTTGTTATTGATTTTTTAGAACCACTATACATTTTTAATAAGTAAAATTCATATATAATATGATAACAAGTAATATGATTTTAGAAATACTGTAAAGATACAACATAGGGCTGTAATGGTCATGTACAGTAAAACAATGCTATCCAAATTCCTTGGTCACATTTTCATAAAATTTGATAAAACTTTATAAGAAACACTCGCATCATTATGTTATTTCAGCAAGTAAAACACCATTCCTAATCTTTTTAAACCATGTAAGTCTAACTCATTATGTATAATGGAATATTTACTGAGCAATTAATCAGCCTTTTACTAGCTATAGTTGCAGTTTCTTAGATTTTAGTCTCAGGTTACAGGGAGTAATAGGAAGCATTGATTCTAATACTACAACCAGTTTATTAGAGACTGTTGTATTTCAAACCATTGGGGAAATGAGTATGGAATAAACTTCCTGAGATAACAACTTTTAAAGTGCCAGTAATTATTATTACACATTATTAATACAGCAAATTGTGTTTATTGCTGTTCTTTTTTTAAAGGTTTTGCTTTTTTTGTATTATATTGATGTTCTTCATTTCAGATTCTTGTTCTGGTACTTACACTGGGAACACACAAGGCACACACCAACAACAACAGCCACAAGGAGGTGGATTCTGGACAGGAGCATTTACAGGTGGCATGCTGGGATATCTGATGGGCAACAACAGAAATTCTTATGGCAGCCATACATATGCCTCACCATACAACCAGCCATACACAAACTACAACAGACCAGGGTGGGGCAGTTGGTTTGGTGGTGGAAGAACTGGATATGGTGCTGGAGGAGGTGGTTGGGGTGGTGGTGGAGGAGGTTTGGGAGGTGGAAGTACCAGCTCCAGTAGTGGAACACGCACTGCCTCAGGTTTTGGAGGAACAAGGAGGAGATAAATATATGTTGTGACAGTTGTTGGTGATTGTGATCAGTGGAATGTGTGTGGCAAACTGAGATATTGATAATTGTGATAAATGTATGAAATAACTTGTGATATTTAAGAGTGTTGTTTATGAATTCTATAAACTGAAGCTTTATAATGTTGTCTACATGTCTACCATAGCCATCAGCATGAATTGTGCAACTGATTTTCAGACATCTTCTTGTTTGTCATTGATGTCTCTATTCTTTGATGAGGGGACATGGTAATGTGGTATGGTGTTTTATCACACAATTTTATGGAAAATATTTGATAATAACAAACATACCATCTTTAATATTAAGATTGTTTGCAAAATATGAATTTCAAGATGACTTTGGGTTCAGATTGACTTGAATGAGGTGATGTGACACATCGGATTAAAGATGTTTACTTGTAAAATATCATTCTCATCAATGACGGAAAGTTTTCATACTTATACTGTTAAATTATCACTTATAACAGTAATTTATCTGTGATAAAGACAAATTTTTACAAATTTCTAATTACAGGTAGAATTTTATAACAGGTCATATTTATTTGTTAGTGTTGATGTTTATTTAAAATGTTCCAAAGGATGAGATATGATTGAAACGATTTTTAGGTTCCTTAATCACAAAATTCTTGAACTCATACTTTTGAAGTGGTATTTCCAACAGAAAATCTGGTTATAAATTTGGGGTATTACAAAAGTCAGGCAGGCAGGGGACTCAAGCTATTTCTGTGCAATAACTACAGCCTTGTTTGACCAATGTTTTTTTTAAATTTCAATATGTTGAAACTGATGACAAAAAGGGAGGTCAAGTTCAATACAGATTTATTTCACTTACTGTTAAGTGTTTGATTTGGAAATTGCATTCTATATCAATACCATGTCATAAATTGAGAATTCTTGATCCAATTCTTTTTAAAAATTCAATATGTTGTTTCTCATGACAAAATGGAGGCCAAGATTGGTTTATAAATATTTTCACTTTTGCAGTTTAAGTCTGTTCCAATTTTATCTAGTGGAGAGTTGTGAGACACTCAAATCAATTAAATATGGGTGGCTTCATTTTCTTAAGAATTTTGTAAGAATTAAAATAATTTTTTTTAAATTAATTTTATGGGTGGTTGGGGTCTCAAAAAAAGTGCCTCCCATGCATTTAATTTTGGAACAGCCCTTTATTCCTCTATAACAATGGTACTTAAGAATGTAAGAACAACCCTGTTTGTTTTCAGCCTCTTGTTTATTAAATTAACTACATTTGAGGACCAAGCAAGTATGTTCTGTAGAATTCCATTATATTGTTATCAATGTCTGTAAACTGATGTCTTGCGGTGACTCACTGGTACTTGATTTCCGGCATTGAAATTGTGGGGCTCGACAATGTGCTGATAATCACACAGTATTGTAATATTCTACATAAATGGATAGAGTAGCTTTTTTATGTTTTGGAATGTTATTTAGTTATTGAGTTTTGGGATATAGATATACCAGATTTTTATTGATCAAAACACTCTATACCATTTAAAGATAAACATTTACTCAAAGCATCAGAAATATCATAAAATAATACCAGAAAAGGAACTGTGGATTTTGTTACATAAAATGAAGTGATGATTTTGTTTTGATGTTGTATCTGTCATAGTCGCCAGAGGACATGTATACAATGAATAAGAAATTTAGTTATTTATGCAGAAAAGAATTGTGTAAACCTTAAATCTTGATATATCATTAATTTTTCAACAGCATAGTTAACCTCTGATATATCATTAATTTTTGAACAACATTGTTAACCTCTGTAAAATAGCTTTTTTTCTTTTTTCTGATACACTTGTTATCTTGTGCAATTTTCTGTTTAATACAATAAATATTTATTTATTTTTCTGTGTGTTTGTCAATTCAAATTAATTAATCCAATAGAACATAAAAAAACACGCTGTCGTAGACTCAGTATTGGCGGCTATATGTCTGTAAAGATTTCATACAGCCATGTTATTAGACATGATTGTGTACAGTTACAGAAAAAAAACCACTTTCTAGTTTTGTTTCATACTATAGGTAATCGAATTAATATCAATCCCTAAGAATGCCAGATGCAATGATTTAGCAACAACAGTATAATTATAACCTTCAAAAACAGAAGACCACTTAAAAAGCAATAAGGCAATGTGGTGGGATTGCCAGTGAGACAACTATCTAGAGGACTAAAGGACAAGGATGTCATCAACTGCATGTCACAATACGGCTTTCAACAATAAGCATAACCCATAATGTATAGTAAGCTATAAACCTAACTTATTTGCATTGTAAAAGATAATAAGTATTTTGTATGTAAGGACCATAAATATATTCAATTGTAAAACTTTCCTTGCATGAACCCTATTTCTGGTTCCTACACACTTTCAATTTCTTTTCTTTAAACAGCAAAATACAGGATTGATCATTTGATGAAACTATAAAACAGTTTTGATACAAATATTCCATATAGCTAGGAGAGCAGGACAGGGCCATAAAGCTGAACTTAAAATTTGAACAAGAATTCTTTTAGGCTAACATGAACAACAAATGTTGGATCCTTAAAGTGTAATTATTCATCTTTAAAGTCTTGGAAATATATATAAACTTGTACTTACCATTTACAACTGGCGACTTTCTTCAGATAATCTCTACACATAATCTAGAACTTGTTAATCACATTTCGAACATCATCATACAACTCTAAGTTACTTATATCAACATCAAAACTCGAGAGATTTTTAGAGACTGAAACTCCAAATTCACATGGTATCAAACAATATACTCCAATACTACTAGAAGACAGCAATGGGTACCAATAATGTAATCAAAGAAATTATAACACCATAGAAAGAAAAATCCAGTGGTGGGGTGACTCTGGATATATTGCAGCTGATGGTCTTCAATACATCAAACGAAATATTGATAGAGCAATAAGACACTTTGGTAACAATTGGATATATATCTGGCTTGGTACCTTTTAACCGTCAAAGAGAGAGACCACAAAATTAATATAAGATCAACATCAGATTCTACCATTATCCACCTCCGTGAGAAATTTCAAGAAATTGGCCACTTCACCATTTAATTCTGTCCTATACGCGATGAAAGAGCAGTTGAACGTACTGTTGCTTGTGAATAATGCGATGAATGGATACATTTCAACTGTGCAGGGCTAAAAAACAGCGATATTGATAAGATAAGAGACAATCCATTTGTCTGTCGCTTATGTATTGAAAACAACCTATATAGTACTGAAATGGACCACAACACCTTCGTGAACACCTCGGCCAGGGAAGTACTACATCTGTATCAACAAGAACCAACTATTGAGTTCCAAAAAGACAAAGACCAATCTACAGTGACATCACAAGAAGGTTGGGAAACACACAATAACATCAAGAATGTTACAACCCACAGTAGCGTCGTGGTAACAGAAGAATTGCATCCAAACGACCAAAATATGCTAAGAACCTCGAGCTCCATACATGTAGTTGCGCAAAATAAAACCGCAATAGAACCAGAACAAAGACCAACTGTAAAGGATAAAAAGAACAACAACCAAAGTAGTTTAAACCAGATTAAAGTACAACAAAGAAAATCTAAAGACATTGAAGAATTCAAAAACTATATATATGAGCGTCAAAACACAATTTTTACCGAACTAGTACACATTTTTGTTTAGGGGCAAGCTGAAGCCCGCCTCCGGGTGCGGGATTTTCTCGCTGTGTTGAAGACCCACTGGTGGCCTTCGGCTGTTTTTTTGCTCTTTGGTCGGGTTGTTGTCTCTTTGACACATTCCCCATTTCCATTCTCAATTTTATAAAAGACCGAGACCAGACAATAAATTTACTGGAATGAAACATGGCACTATTAGAAGGTTACATACAATTAGCAATTCAACAGATAAGAAATAACGAACAACAGTCTTATCTCATGTATGCTCAACAACCAAACAGTCAACATAACAATAATGGATGCCAATCTCAATGTCAATATCAGCACCTCTCCAACAACATTCGGGCTTTAGAGCAACAAATGATTCAGCATATGTGTATCACTTCTGCCTTGACAACGCAAATTTCCATGCAATTGCAACAGACCCTTTCTTCAAGGAACCAAGTACCACCTGTAACCATCAATATGGTACCACAACCAACCAGCTCCATATATACAAGGACAATCACTAATATATCATCAAAATCCAATGTATAATCAAACCACTCAACCAGCTATGCAACCAGGCCTATACAACCAATTTCAATTTCTGCATACCATTCTAGTCAAGGATATGTCAACTTGAATCCAGCCCTTCAGAGTCATTACTTACACCAAAATACTCATGGCACCATATCAGACTCAAAACAGGCATGCAAATGGGCACATACCACCTCCGCCAACCTACCATCAAGCCAATCTACAAAGATCATCTCAATGTCAGCAAGTGAGAAACAACAACCAAACAGGGCTGCCTCAACATATCAATACAAACACATCAAGCAATATATTGGAAAACAACTAGAAAATAATCCACATGTATTGTATACTGACAAATCAACAAGTAACATAGCTCAAGATGCAAGAAATACATGTTCAGATGGACAAAATAAAATGGTGCGTAAAAAGAAGGAAAGAACTCACTACTTACCAAGTATACAGCCTACAACAGAGATTACGCAATCAGAAATAAATCCTGTGATAATTGAGAACATTGAAAAGTCTACTTCAATAGTACAATCAGAAGTAGTACCTGTTCTGAGTGAAAAATATTGAGGAATTTGATGAAATGGTTTAAGCAAATGACAGGAAACAATCAAGGTGAAAATGGTGAAGGAAGACTGAATCAAACAACCTCTATTTTAGAAATTCCGAGCCTCAAGAACAAACCACCAGACATCCTCAGAATAATCATGGCAACAGAAACACTCAACAGTCACGGCAGAGATTAAGAATATATTAATACCTTCAACATAGAAAGGAAAATTCGGCCTATCTTTCAAATTCAAGTAAAGAACTAGATATCATTTGTTTACAAGAACACTGGTTATGGTCTTTTGAACTTCAAAAAATTGGATGAAAAAATGACAGATTATAAGGTGTTTGGACGGAGTCACGATTGTAATAACCAATAACTAGCTTTTAAATACCAAGAGGAAAAGCTGGTGTAGTAATAGACTGGCCACAAGAATTCGACAAAGTTATTTCAAAATTAGACGATAGGAATGAAAGAATTATAGCAATAGAGATAATGACTGTACCTAAACCAACCTGCCTTATGAATGCCTACATGCCAACAAATGCAACACACTGTATGAATACAAGGAATGCCTCAACATCATCTTTAACATCAAGAACAAATATGATCAATCACACAATATCATCTTAAGTGGAGATCTATATGGGTCATTAATACCAACATGAAACAACAAGCACGATATTCGACTCAAACGATTTACTTCATATAATGGATTAAAGCCATCGCACGATATCCAATCCTAACCTAATTATTTTCATACAGATGGAAAAGCTACTTCTCAAATTGACTATATTCTGTCCAATAACAACATTTTACTATCAACCAATATATACAGTCAGGATCCAGTAAACGCCTCAACCCATGAACCGGTAAAAGCATGTACAAATCTGTATCTAGAAATAAAGAAGGACAGAAAATAAAAAACAAATACAGAAGCATATAAATTTATATGGGAAGAAATAGATAAAGGCGTATATATAAATGAGATTGATAAACACTGATAAACATCTTCAATACCTTCCATCCCATGAAACTACAACTAATGGTAAGCTAAAGTGTGTCATGGGAAATTTGCATAAAGCTATCAAACTAGCAGTACCTTCAAGAATTATTAAGCTAAATGGACTCAAAAGAAAAGCTTCCCTGATTAAAAAAAAATGACTGTAATAAGTAAAAACAAACAGACTCTGGAATGATGCAGGTAGACCACGAGATAACCACCCTCTCTTTAAAGAAAAAAAGGAAGCTAGAAGAAATCTCAGAAAACAGCAGAGAAAAGAAACTACAATAGAAATAGAACAATTCATTCAAAAACTTGAAAAAAATCGTAATGACCAAATGTTTTACCAACTAATCCGAAGAAATAGATCTGAAACTTCAAAATCGGACACTGATTTTCTGAAAATGGGAAAGGAAGAAGCTGTATCCAAAAACAGAACAATGTGAATTACTGGCAAAATACTTTGAAGGTTTGGCCCAATCAAAAGACAACATGAATTTTAACAACGAAAACCTTCTGAACTGTAAAAAAAGATGTAAAGTCTATAAAAGAAATAGCAAAAGCTTCAACCAACTCAGAAGTTACCATAACAAGGGAAGACATCCAGAAAGCTATAAACCAACTGAAAACTAAGAAAGCATATGCATATGACTTAGCCGTAAAACATTTGAAACATTCCGGGGACAGCGTACTAGAAATACTACAATAAATTTTTAATAAAATTCTATTAGAGAAATATTAGGGGAAAAAGTACCATCAATGTTTAAAACTGGAACAGTAACACAAATTCTGAAGAAAGGAAAAACATTCTACGAAAGAGTATACGGTGGTATAACAGTTACATCAGTTATCGGAAAAGTATTTGAATATATCATTTTGTACAAAGCCAACCTTATGAAATCTGGACAATCTCCATTGCAATTTGGTTTTACTCAAGGATTATCTCCAAACATGGCAGTCTTAATACTTAAAGGCATGCTCAGAAATCTCAGGAAAGCAAACCATCTTTGTCACAACACTTGACAGTCAGAAGGCTTTTGACGTTGAAAGTCACGAAATATTGATGGAAATGCTATATCATTACGGATTTAATATGAATATTGAGGAGCTA